TGTCTGGAGGAGTGATTGGGACTAGGTGAGGTTAGGTGGGGGAAACAGCAGGTGTCTGTAGGAGTGAATGGGACTAGGTGAGGTTAGGTGGGGGAAACAGCAGGTGTCTGGAGGAGTGATTGGGACTAGGTGAGGTTAGGTGGGGGAAACAGCAGGTGTCTGGAGGAGTGAATGGGACTAGGTGAGGTTAGGTGGGGGAAACAGCAGGTGTCTGGAGGAGTGATTGGGACTAGGTGAGGTTAGGTGGGGGAAACAGCAGGTGTCTGGAGGAGTGAATGGGACTAGGTGAGGTTAGGTGGGGGAAACAGCAGGTGTCTGGAGGAGTGAATGGGACTAGGTGAGGTTAGGTGGGGGTCCTACTAACCTACTTATAATACCTCTGTACTCTCTCCAGACAGGAAGATAGGTGGGGTGGCTGGAGATACATCCCAGGGTGCCAAGTCAGGTACTTGGCTTCAGGTGTGTGTGTGTGTGTGTGTGTGTGTGTGTGTGTGTGTGTGTGTGTGTGTGTGTGTGTGTGTGTGTGTGTGTGTGTGTGTGTTTGTGTGTGTGTGTGTGTGTGTTTGTGAGACAGAGAGACAGAGAGACACAGAGAGACAGACAGTGAGAGAGAGAGAGAGAGAGAGAGAGAGAGAGAGAGAGAGAGAGAGAGAGAGAGCGAGAGAGAGAGCGACAGAGAGAGAGCGACAGAGAGAGAGCGACAGAGAGAGAGAGGGAGAGGGAGAGAGAGACAGACAGACAGACAGACACAGACACAGAGAGACACAGAGACACACACAGAGAGAGAGAGAGAGAGAGAGAGAGAGAGAGAGAGAGCGACAGAGAGAGAGCGACAGAGAGAGAGCGACAGAGAGAGAGAGGGAGAGGGAGAGAGAGACAGACAGACAGACACAGACACAGAGAGACACAGAGAGACACACAGAGAGAGAGAGAGAGAGAGAGAGAGAGAGAGAGAGAGAGAGAGAGAGAGAGAGAGAGAGAGAGAGAGACAGACAGACAGACAGACAGACAGACAGACAGACACAGACAGACAGAGAGACAGACAGACAGACAGACAGACAGAGAGACAGACAGACAGACAGACAGACTGAGGTAAGGAGCAGAGCAGCCCGGCTTGGCCAGAGGGCTAGAAGGGGGTCTGATGTCTGACAAGCACTGGAATGTTAAATATTACCCGGAGTATCCCACACACAGATGTTCACAATCACGGCTCCAGAAAATTAATGCGAGCAATATGGCAAATCAAATAAAAGTTGATTTGTCACGTACACACTTTACATCAGGTATAAACGGTGCCATGAAATGCTTACTTGCAAGCTCCCTCAACAAGGCAGTACAAATATCAATAATAATCAAAAGTCAATAAAAAATAACAAGAAGGTAGTATGCATAGTAATAAAACTGGTATATACACAATAGGATATACAGTATCAATAATGAATGTGCTATGTCAAGTATGACTGTATTTACAATATAAAGTGGATAGTGTCTTGGTAGATCAGTTGAATATATAGTATAGAAACAGAACAGCAGTGTTGACTGTGTGTGTGTGTGTGTGTGTGCGTGTGTGTGTGTGTGAGCGTGTGTGTGTGTGTGTGCGTGTGTGGTGTGTGTGTGTGAGAGAGAATGGGTGTGTGTGTGCAGGGTTGGGGAGTTCAATCAGTTACTTGTAATCTGATCACAAAAACACTGTAACTATAATCAGTTACGTTACCTGCAAAAATATTGTAATCAGATTACAGATACCTTTGAAAAATATGATGATTACTTCTCGAATTACTTTTAAATTCAGAAAGGATGTTTGGGGAAAAAATACATTATGACCCCTTTCTGTTTTCTCAATGACATTCAATTCAGCATTGAAAAAAGCGCCAGTTTAAGTTTGTTCCACCTGAGCGAGTCTGACCACAAGTCAGAAATAACTATGATGACACTAAATTCATTTGATTTATCCTTTTTGTCTTCTAAAGCCTCTTAAGGGGAAAGTAATCCAAAAGTAACTCAAAGTAATCATATTACGTTACTGAGCGTGTGTGTGTGTGTGTGCTTGTGTAAGGGTTGGATTTGTGGAGAGTCATTGCAAATAGTCTCTAAGGTCTTTAAGGTGCAGGTCGGAGCAGCTAGAAAGCTAGGGTTAGCTGTTCAACAGTCTGATGGCCTGGAGGTAGAAGTGGTCTCGGCGCCTGTTGTCTGAGAACCGATGCTCCAATATCGTTTGCCAGATGGTAACGGAGTGAACAGTCCGTGGCTCGGATGACTGGAGTCCTTGACGATCTTCCGGGCCTTCCTCACACTGGTGTAAATGTCCTGGAGAGCAGCCATGCTGAGAGGGAGGATGAGGAGGATGCTGCTTCTGTAATCGAGCGAGGGGTCATTTTCTTGCCTGGCCAGTTGAGTTATTAGTTCTGGATTAACTGCTTCTTTGAACCTTCAAGCACATCATTAAGAGTAGCAGGAGAAGATCTCATGGCCTAATATAGAAGTGTATGGGAGTGGGACGTTGGTTCTACAAGACCCTTCCTTTCTCGTGAACATTAGACTAAAACCACTTTACATGTACAACTAGAGAATCCCCAAATAGGTGCTCCTCTGCTGCATGCTGGTTTCCCTAGTTACTGAAGGTCAATTGGGACTCTCACACTAATAAAATCGACCGCTGAATATAAACATTTCTTCCTCTGAAACAGTTCCTAGATACTAGATATGTATAGGGTTGCAAAGGGATGGTGTATTACTGTAAACTTTCGAAGTTTACCAGTAAACTACCTGAATTTTGGTGTCTTTCAAGGATTTTATGCAATCTATCATAAGAAATGTAGTGGCCCTTTTGGGTACTCCAGATTATTACGGGCATCTGTAATTATCTCTGGCCCTCTGAGTGGCCTTATCACATGTATAATATATTAAATAATTGAATAAAATGATTTTCAAATAGAA